ATTCCGCTCGCTTTTCTTGGGAGTGGTATTCACAGTCGTATTGGCCTTTGTCAACCAGTTCTTCTTCTTCCGCGAAAACCCCATCACTCTGGGTGGCTATGTCGTGCAGCTGCTGTCGTTCCCGCTGGGCTTTGCCATGTCCAAGGTGCTACCGACGCGCAAGTTCCGCACATTCGGCTTCGAGTGGACCATGAACCCGGGCAAGTTCAACATCAAGGAGCATGTGCTCATCTCCATCTTTGCCGGCACGTCGGTGGGCGTTGCCTACGCCATCGATGTCGTGACCATCAAGAAGATGTGGTACAAGTCCGACATGGGCTTCGGTCCCAGTGTGCTGTTCCTGCTGTCGTCGCAGGTCATGGGCTACTCGTTTGCCGGTCTGTCGCGCGAGTTCCTGGTCTACCCCTCCGCTATGATCTGGCCGGCCACGCTGGTGTCGGTGACCCTGTTCCGTACCTTCCACGAGCACTCGGTCTGGAACGGCTGGTCGCGCACACGCATGTTCTGGGTCTGCTTCGCTGCCAGCTTTGCGTGGTACTGGGTCCCCGCCACCATCTTCCCGACGCTGTCGATGATTGCAATTCTGTGCTTTGCTGCCCCCAACAACGTCATTGCGCAGCAGATTGGTGACGCGCCCCACGGTCTGGGCATCCTCAACCTCACGCTGGACTGGAGCTACATCTCGTCGGGTTTCACGGGCTCGCCCATTGCCATCCCGTGGGTCATGGCTGCCAACGTGTTTGCCGGCTTTGTCATCATCATGTGGATCATCACCCCGATTGGCTACTACACCAACACCTGGGGCCACGGCATCTACCCGATCTACACCGCGTCGCTGTACCTGCCGGACGGCGGCCGGTACAACATCAGCAAGGTCATGACACCTGACCAGAACTTGGACCCTGTCAAGTACGAGGAGTACGGCCACCTGCGCATGTCGTTCCACTTTGGTCTGACCTACGGCATTGGCTTCGCCGGCCTGATGACTGTGCTGTCATACATTGCTCTGCACCACGGCAAGGATATTGTGCAGCGCGTGCGCCAGTCGCGCTCGATGGACGACGACATCCACGCCAAGCTGATGCGCCGCTACCCCGAGGTCCCGCAGTGGTGGTACCTGGTCACCTTTGCCATCACCTTCGCCATGTCGATCATTGTGTGTGAGGTGTGGAACCTCATGAACTGGTACTGGGTCATTCTCAGTGTCGTGCTGCCCTTCATCTTCACCATCCCGATTGGCATCATCCAGGCGCTCAGCAACCAGCAGCCGGGCCTCAACATCATCACCGAGTTCATCATCGGCTACGGCCGGGTTGGCGACCCCATCGCCAACGTCACCTTCAAGGTGTACGGCTACATCACCATGGCCCAGGCGCTGCTGCTCGTCTCGGACCAGAAGCTCGGCCACTACATGAAGATCCCGCCTCGCACGCTGTTCATTGCCCAGCTGGTGGGCACCATCATCTGCGCCTTTGTGCAGCTGGGTGTCGCGTACTGGCTCATGAACACGGTCAAGGACATGTGCACACCCGAGGGCCGCCCGTGGACCTGTATCCAGGCCAACACCTTCTACTCGGCGTCGGTCATCTGGGGTCTGGTTGGCCCGGGCCGCATGTTCGGCAGCGACAGCCCCTACCACGTCGGCCTCTACCTGTTCATTGTCGGCGTGTTCCTGCCTGTGCCGTTCTGGTACCTGCAGAAGCGCTACCCGAACAGCCTGTGGAAGCACGTCCACATCCCGCTGCTGTTCTCGGCCTCGGGTTACATGCCGCCGGCGCCGTCGCACATCTACGTCAACTGGTTCATTGCCTGCACTATCTTCAACTACTTCATCCACAAGTACCGCAACCAGTGGTGGCAGCGCTATGCGTTCTCGCTGTCGGCCGGCCTTGACTGCGGTCTCGCGATCTCGGGTATCGTTATCTTCTTTGCGTTCCAGAACGTGGTGGTTCCGACCTGGTGGGGCAACCCCGAGTCTGGCACGCACTGCCCGCTGGCGAACACTGGATTCAAGCCTCTTCCAGAGCCCATCGCTTAGTGTTATTTCAGTCCACTCATTCGAAGAATATGCTCACACAGTGTCCAGTCAGAATCTGAGGTTGCATTGCCCGCTAGCCCAAGCCTAACCCCGTGCAGGCAGCGTGGGTCGCAGCAATGGCAAGCTATGAGCAGCATGTGCAATATATATTGGCCAGTCGCTCACAGGCTGGGTCAGTCTGTGGGGTATGGCATTGACGCTGGCGTTGGCGTTGGCGTGCGGAGGGCTGTGTGCTGGCCATCTCTCCCACAGAGCACAGCCGCTGTGTGAAATGGACAAGGGTTCAGGGGCTCAAGGGCAGTGCGATCCGCATATGTTCTAGGCGGAAGCATCCCAGCTGGTCGGCTGCATGGCAGACAAAGCGTCCGCCTGCATATGCCGCTCCTGGATCAGGTGGCCATGGGAGTGGGCATGAAGGCAGGTTGTCCCAGCAATGCTGTGTGTGCCAGCCAGGATGGCCGGATGGCCCCCGCCGTGCCAGCGATGATAGCGCCGGAGCGTACTTTTGGTTGAGGAAAGGAGCGATTTGCCTCAACCAAATCCCAGCCGCATGCATACCCCTCACACCTGCCCAAGAAAGGCAATGCCACTCGCCGGCACGCTTTAAAGGCAGGGGTCGATCTCTCGGAGAGATGAGAGCGAAAATATCGCATTCCCTCCTCTGCTCTCCTTGGCCACCATCCCTTTCCCTCCCGCTACTTTGCTCTCATTGCATTCGCAACATTCACAGTCTGTGGGAAATTCCTCACATACAAGCCATGAAACCGACATCCATCTCTATTGTCTTGGACACAGACACAGTCAGCCTGTTCGGCGAGCGCACACAGGCTGCCGGCCACATCCTGACTGGCAAGGTTGTTGCCAGGTTCCGCACCACAACCAAGGTGCGCTCGCTGGACGTCTCGTTCACTGGCGAGCAGGCCATCAGCTTCACACCACGCCCTGCCAGCGCCAGTGCCCGGGGCCGGCAATCACCAGTGACTGCAAACAGGCGTCTGGCAGACATCTCGCAGCAGCTGGTAATACCGGGTGCCGACAAATCCACAGCTACATTTAGCGCTGGCATGCACGAGCTGAGATTCGAGCTGGTGCTGCCAGGCGACCTGCCGCCGACGGCCAACCTCCTGTTTGGCAGCATTTCGTACACTGTGCGTGCCAAGCTAACGCTGACAGGTCTGCGGTCAAACTGCAGTGCACAGACACCGGTAGTGGTGGTGCGGAACCCCGGCGAAGGCAGCGAGTGGGCAGACGCAAGCGCCGATGCTCTGAGCACCAGCGCTGAATGGGAGGACAAGGTCAAGGTAACGCTGGCCCGCGACTCTCACATCGTGGCAGACAGCGCGCTGGCCCAGTTCACATGCATTGTCGAGCCTGGCATCAAGGGGTTGCGTCTAATGGCACTCGATCTAGTGCTCAAGGAGGTGCAGACGGTGTTCCGCGATGCCGGCCATGTGCCGGTCCACAGAGAGACGCAGGTGATTGCACGCAAGCGCATTGCCTTTGGCAGACAGGGCTCCGCAGCCGACAGCCGGGAAGAGCACCGGGTGGCGCTAAATATGCCGGCTGCCTACGAAGATGTGCAGTTCGAGCTCCAGTCCGACAGCGTCACCGTGCGGCATCAGGTGGTGCTGACAGCGCTGGTCAAGGCACCCGAAGGCGCTATTGTCGAGATGACCATCCCCGCCTATGTCTCGGTGCTGCCAAATGCCGGCGCCAACGGCACCATTGACCTGCCCCTGTACGAGAGCTCGGGCTCTGACCGGCTGATCCAGACATCCCAGTCTGTCATTTTACCAGGCGCTCTGTCTGACTACGGCGCCCAGTCTGTCATTTTACCAGGTGCTCTGTCTGACTACGGCGCCCAGTCTGCTGGTGCTGACAGCGCCGTTGCAGTGGCTCGTGACCTGCCCCCATACTCGCTGCCTGTGTGCCCGTCGTGCGGCAAAGAGGACGTGTCTGTGCTGCAGTGCCACACGGCGGCTGCGGTTAGAATCAGCCGGATGCCCCCCAATGCCGAGATCGAGGACCTGTGTGCTGAACTATGAAAACTAGAGCGTGGGTTGGGCTGTATTTATAACAAAACATCATAAAGACTGGTATCCGAAGGGTGTATTACCGAAGAGTGAGGCAGGGTGTCAGGTAGTGACTGTCAAGGTAGTTGGCTGCTTACAGCTGTCGCTTGAGCCATCCCCAGCCGGCGTTCTCGATCTGGCGCTTCAGCCGATGCTCGCTGACGCTCTCAGCCTGGCGCCTGCCATAGGCAACCGGGGCATTGCCGTGCTTGAGCCATTCCCAGCTGCCATTCTCGATCTGGCGCTTGAGCCATTGCTCGCTGGCGTTCTCGACCTGGCGCGTCAGCCATTCCAACCCAGCATTTTCGATCTGCCGACGCTCAATAGCAGCCACACTATCAGACTGAGGGGCGGGTACTGCCATGGCGACAGCAGAAAGGAGAAAAGCAGGCGCAAAGAGCTTCATGGTTGATGAGTGGGTTGCTTGGGGCGCTGATGGTCAGGAGGGTAATAGGGGGTTTGGAGGGTAGGAGGCAGAGGGAAACAGTGGTATCTGGGGAGGATGGTTTCGCTAGTGTCAGGACTGGCAGTGATGTGTTCTGCTTGAAATCTGCGGACAGACCATGCTCATTTATACTCGTGTATGACAGTACCGCCAAAGTCGCTAGGAAAGCGAGCAACAGATGTTGCTTGCCGAAGGCATCCACAATTGCACAAGCGACATCTTGAGCGGTGAACACATGCACAGCTAGTTCTTTTGCTGGTTATTGTCCTAAACATCCGACCCAAGGCATGGTGTGGTGTCACTTGGTACATGATCGCCCAGACCTAAATTCCAGAAGGTGGGTCGAAGTCGTGGCGCATTGGCTACAAGACCTTCACGCAGTCTGTGTGCGTGAGCTAGTACATTCTCTATTGCTTGCGTTTTCAGCTACGCTGGTGTCTGGTCGAGCACATTCTCCGCGAACCAAACTGGCCAAGATACTGGCTGCTGAAATGGACTAATAGACGGAATGTCACTGGGATGGTATGATTTTCGCTCAGCTCAAAACACAAACAATTGTACAAGCGTCTGAAAAAAAGCATGTATTTTGATGGCTGGTTTACATCTAACTACTTTATTGGCCACTCTAGGTCGTCACGTCTGACTCAAACAAAGCAAAATTGCTCACGCATACATGCTTCTGCATATCTGTCATCTTTTAACCTACTAGTCCATCTTTCAATTCAAGCGGCAAAGCGTGAATATTTCATATTGCCCACCAAAAGCTGGAGCTGTTTATATGACCACCCGTACCGGCTCGTAGGAGGAGTCGACAAACGGACATTGGCATGCAGTTCAGGTGGCTTTGAACTGACCTGCGGTGCAAACATATCAGGCAAGCATTGTTCACCCCATTCAAGTGGAAATGCGAATTTTGCAGTGTTCCTTTGTCGAAACACTGGGTCGGATAGTGCATTCAGTGACCAGCTGTACTGCATCTGCTATTTACTCTTGCCATTCTTGCTTCGCTCTGCACATCTTTCGGCTACTCAGAGGTTCATAAGCACTTGTATTTAACTCTTCTAGACCATTACTTTGCAACCAGTCTTCTTAGTATATCCTATTTACAAACATGGCGACCAAGCATGCTGTATTTGCCCTCACTCTAGCGGTGATTGCTACTTGTGAAGTCTACGGGAACGAGCCTGGGTTCGTTGAAGTCGGATATGCACCACAGGTGCTCGTCGCATCTCAGCAGTACGAAGCCAACCGGCCGTACCATGTCGCTGCTAACGCCGGGCTGCGTGCTGGCGAGGCGAGCAGCGCAAGCGAGCTGGGTGCCCTTGCGAGCCATGAGCATTCGGCAAGCGAGTCGTCCAAGAGCAGCAAGAATGCGGCAAATACCAACACAAACGCCATTGCTGGTCTTGCTTACGCTGTCGCTGCTGCCTCCATTGCTTGTGCGTGGGCAGCATATTAGCCCCCCCCCCCAACAAACCAAGATTTGGTATTCACAAATAAACATTGGGAAGTGCATGAAGCAAAGTCAAATGGTAGTATATTGCTGAGTATAAGTATGCAGTTGTCTATCTTGAGAGCTGTATATCAATCGAAAATGGTTCTGTCACGGTGCATTCGCAAATGATAGACTGGTTAGAGAGTGTTTTGCGCATCACGTCGCTTACCCGCACGCATTTCATGACATTCAGAACACTGATCTTGGTGCACTTTGTTGCCACTTCGCGGACGCCGATATCAGTGATGCCAGTACAATATGCGACGCTCAGCGCCTTCAGCGACTTTAGATTATAGGCGATAGCTGTCAGCGATGTGTCCTCGATTTGTGTGCAGTGTGTTAAATCAATGACTTCAAGCCTGGGACAGTGCTGGGCGAGCTCGCCGACACCGAAATCGGTCAGATGTGCTGTCCACGCAAGTGAGATCCGCCGCAGACCAGTCAAGTGCTGGGACAGCTTGGCCATAGTGATATCGCTGCGCAGACCACCAGCCAGGTTCAGGCTAGTTAGGGATGAGAGCCTGGGGGCCAGCCGTTGGAGCGAGTAGTTGCGTACACCTTTGCAAAAGCACAAGTCAAGGTGCCGCAATGACGAGGTGTAGTGGTCAGTAGACAGCCCATCGCTGTGCCGCGGTCCGCGCATCGAGTTCCGCATGCTACGTTTATGGTAGCTGGTTGATGCGCCCGAGTAGCTCAAATGAGTGTCGTCAGCAGCGGGCAGCGATACATCCAGCAGTAGACTACTTTTTGATAATGGCCCGAATCCGCTGGCCGCCTTGGGAAGTTGCCATTGCGGGTCCTGCAGGTCTAGTGGATCTGTTCCAGCCGGTGTATACGCCACCCGATATTCGCTGTCATCATTAGAATCAGCTGTGTCACTGGCTACAGGGATCTCAGCTGCAACCGAATGGTACACACTGGTGGCACTGGGCTCTGTCGACATTTCAATCGCTGAATATGGCCGTGCAGATTCCTCATCATTGCGCGAGAGGCTCTTCGACCGCTTGAGCGCTGTCAGCGGACCGCTGCAGAACTGCCCATCGCCCGTTCCACACGGGCCTGCTGCGGGTGCCACAACAGCAACCAGATGCTGTATGATCGTGCCAATCGAACCAGCCAGCTTTGGGTGATTCCTGTCGGCCTCTGCCAGTCGGCTGAAGGAGAGAGAGTGGACAAGCCGCGTATAATGACTCGTGGCACGGCCTTGGGCAGTGGCAGACAGCGTGGAGGCGAATTTAATGACCTGCGACAGTCGCGCAAATTGCGGGCGCCGCCAGAGAAGAGGGATGACCAGCTCCTTCCAAAGATGGCAGGTCAGCATGCATGAGTGAAGGGCCTTTTGGTGGGGCTGAAGCAGGCCGAAAATCTCCTCAAGCACTTCAGGCGGCACGCGTGCACTAGCTGGCTGTCTGGGATCGCCCAAACAGACACCGGAGGCATTGCCAGTGAACGAGACTGCTGCCAGAGGTGACAAGGCTGGCGATATGGCTTCTGTGCTCCCGCCAGGCGACGCTTGCAAGGTGTCCATGGGCGAGTCCGTGGGTGCTATGTGTGCGGGTATGGATGCAAAAAGAATCTATATGTGTGTGAAGGTCGGTGCACAGTGCAAAGCGAGAAGCTGGTAGAGCAAAGGAGTAGAGGTGGGAGTGAAGTATGCCAAAAAGGATGAAAAATAGAGTTCTGAAAAATGGAGTGTAGGTGGGAGGCAAGAGTGTGTTGAGGCGCTCGCCTTTTATACCCTGGCTATGTGAGAGGGCAGCAGCGTCGGCGTCAGCTAGAAATAAAACGGAAACAATTATTTGCAAGCTGTTCGGCAGTTGCATGCAGGCGGCGCGCAATAGCCTTGACAGCCTTTGTGTGAGCCTGGTCTGTTCGCAATTGATGGAGCTGCGCTTTTGTGTTATACAAAGAACCCTTCGAACCAGACACCAAACAGAAGCCATCCCAAAAGAGACTGCTCGCCAATTCGCCTATAGTCAAGTCGGGATTTTATAGTTGAACGAAAACAGAGGGCGAAAGAAAAGGCGTCTTACTTCTTGACCGTGGTCATCGAGTTGAACGCATCGCGCTCAGCAAACTCGAGGCGGACCTCCTCAATGAGCGGGCGCAGGTACGCATAGTCGTCCTCGGCCTTGGTCCACTTGGCACGCGGGTACTCCTGGTGCGCCAGGCTCAGCTGGAACGCGTGTCTGTGGCGGATGTTGCGGCCATCGATCTCCTGGCGCGACAGGCGGCTGATAGCCTCCTGGGCAATCGGGCTCTCCTCGGCAATAAGGTCGTCGTACCGGAGACCTAAAATTATGGAAATGCGTACGATTTCAGTTTCTGTCTTCGTCCATTCAGCTCTCGGAATCCACAAACTTACCCAGGCGGCGGTAGCCGGACAGGTTCACCCAGGTGTTGGCGAGCGGGCGCACGATGGCACGGAAAGCAGAGTTGGTCTGGACAGCGCGGCCGATAGCCTCCATTGTTAAATAGTTATGTATAGAATCTGAAGAGGGGGGAACAGGTAAAGCAATTCGCAGGTTGAATTGGAGGAGAAATTCGAATTGGCATACTCTCTGAGGACCGCACTGAGGGGCTTCGTGCAATCTTATCTCACAGCTTATTGGATATTAATCCGATCTGCTGATGTCGAAACACGAATCACATAATCATATTTACACATATGCCGAAAATCAAGCCAGGTGTGATGTGTTAACTGCTGTTTCAACCGCGCGCACCGGCTGTTTTCCACCTCACACTGCCTTGATACATCTATTTCTCAGCATTCAATTTAGCTACAATGCCATCAGATGAGGGCACTCCAGGCTCCCAGCGACGGCAGTTCGACGTGCATGAATACTCCTTGCAACGCTTAGAGGAGGGCAAAGCACTGACCGAAGTTCATAGCGAGCTCAGCAGCCAGCTGCGCGAGCTGCGTCGCGAGCTACACAACCTGATTAACCTCCGCTACGAGGACTTTCTTGGGCTGGGCACCAGTCTGAATGGCATTGACACAACTATCAAAGAGGTGCACGCGCCGCTCCACGACCTGTCGGAGCAGATATCGGCGACGCATGGCGAGTTGACGGCCAAGCTCGATTATCTAGACATGCGGCTGGCATACCGCACTGCGATTCGCGAAAAGAAACAGATGCTGCGAGTGTTCATCGATCTAGCGAGGCTTTTGGATAGGGTTAACGCTATTCTAGCTGAGGCTGCACAGAGCAAAAACGAAGGAGACCTGTCGGAGCATGTTAAGTGCCTCGAGCGCGCAGCAGTGGACTTCAGTCAGATAAAATACTTTATTGGCAAGGGCGGGGATTCGCCGTTTGTCCAGCAGGCAGAAACACGGATGCGCGGTATCGAGAATGCACTGAAGCTAGCGCTATATACTTTCTTTGTGCGCTGCGTTGACCAGCATCTTGCATATTTCAGCGAGGACGCCGATACTCAGGACGAGACGGAAAACCTGCTATGGCTGTCGCAGTGTCTGCGCGCGTACAGCACTATTGATGAGCAGGCGGAGGCCGAAAGCATTTTGAGGAATCGGCTGGTGAAGCCGTTTGTGCATGGCGCGGTGGCCGGTCAGCCTGGCAAGGGCATGGGCATGGATTCGCAGGCTTTGGCAGATATGCTGGAGCGCATCATTGGGTTTGTCTCGCGTGTTGGGATTCCGTTAGTCGACGGCGTTTGTGCACATCTGCCGACTAGCCAGTATAACCTTAAGACGCAGGTATTTTGGCACGAGATATCTGACGCGATAATGACGTCGCTGCCATTGCTGTTTGTACCGGGGATGCCAGATCGATTCCATCGCAACTACCAGATTGTGTGTCGGTTTGTGCGCGACTTTAGCGATCTATTCAAGCACGCCGATTCAATATCCGCTGCTGTCGACTTTGCCAAGGACGAGCATTTTGTGGAGTTCCACCGCAAGTGGCAATTATCAGCGTACTTTGCGATTCGAAAGACCCAAATCATCGATGCCATCGAGGGCAAGGAACCAGCAGCGCCGACAAGGAAATCGCTGGATCGGGTTCGTGCTACAAGCCCTAGTGGGCCAAGTCGGTCAGGAACCCCGGCATCTACTATGAGCAACAGATCGGCTAGCTCGGAAAACGGCTCCATCCGGAGCACTTCATCGGAGGACCATCTGGTGGACCGTGTCACTGTAGACGCCATACGCGCAGAATTGGGGCTGTGCACTGACACTGCCGCCTTGGCTGTGTGGGCGATCCGCCGGTGTTGGTCGGCAGATGTGTACTTGGCGCCGCTGGCGTTTCGGTTCTGGCAGCTGAGTATCCAGGTCGTGCTGTGGTTCGGAAAGAAGACTGAGTCTATAGTGGGCTCGTTGGTCCAGGAAAGGCCAACTGAAAATGGCAGCCCGGCTGGTGATGCCCGGGTTAGCAGTGCGCTGTTTGCAGTGCATGACGTGATAGTGCTCCGTGGGTACATGGTGGGGTATATCTCCTCAGTTGCAGAGCTGCTGCCAGTGCAGTCCCCATTGCTGGGCATGCAGTCACCCACCAGCGCCAGCCATTTGGGGATGTTCGGCATTTCCATCAACGGAACAAATCGAGGCGATGCCCCAGAGGCCTCATCCAAGGACATTACCGCCAGCTTGATGTCTGCGATCACAGCAGCGTTTGGCACCCTCGAAAGC